CGATTTTTTTATTTTTCAAAAAATGGCCGTCATTTTGTTTTGTTTTCATAAAAATTGATAGTTGTAGCATACCCGATAGCTATTGTCATACTGAATTTAACACCGTTTAATTTTTCTGTTTTAGATCAACCGTTCTCAAATTTCGATGCCCGCTAACAGCATACCTACTTTTTAAGGGTTCACGTTTGTCAGCCATTTTGAATGTCAAAATATGTTAAAAATAATAAAAAAAAATTTTTTTCTCGTACTTCTAGAGTGTATTTATCATACCCAACAACTTTCATATGTATATGTATCCTACTAAGCCTAAAAAAAATCGTTAAAATAGCCATTTTTTTAGCGTATAAACCAGAATGAACCCTTAAATATATTGAATGTATATATATTAGGGTGGGTCAAAAAAAGACTTGTTTTTTTTTTCAAGTGTCATGGAAAAATGGGTTGCTAGACACCTTAAAACAATTCTCATCAAATATAAGCTCTTAATTTTAATAGGAAGATCCTCCGCATCGCAGTTTTTTTATTTTTCTCAGTCCAATAGAATAAAATTCAAACCTCATCATTAATTGATTGTACAGAAAAATGTTTTGAAAAAATTTTGTAGGAAATTAAATGCTCTACAAAAAAGGTATCTTATAATTTTTTCGTAAACCTCACCATTTGAATGATATTGAAGATTTAAGTTTGATTATTTTAAGACAAATTTCATTTTTGATTATGAATTTTATAACTCGATAATACATGACTATTAAAAAGTACACAATATAAATTTTTGTAGGAAATTAACTGCTCTATAAAAATGGTGTCTTATGTTTTGGCGATTAAATTAAGCGTTCAAAAGATATTCATCATCAAACTTTCACGTGTACTGATTTCTGTCTCTGAATATCTTTTGATATACATATATATATAGAATATGAATTTGTTTATGTTGAATACAAACTACACTAAACTTTTAATATCATAATAATGTTTTATGTTTTTCTATTTTCCTATACTTTAATTTAATAATAAAAACAAATGTTTATATTATTATCGTTACCAATGTCACAGATAATGTTTTTAATTACGAATTTCGATGTATTTCAAATAATCGATATTAAACTCGAGACTCGAGATAAAAATTAAATAAAAATCAATAATTTATACTTTTCTCAAGTAATTTTTCAGGAAAAATATATGATTTGTTTTTACAGAAAAATTGTTATCGAATAAATCATATAAACTTGGTATAATTAATTTTTAACGAATTAATATGTTATAACTTATAATAAGTCCGTATGATTGCTGTAAATGATGTTTGTAAATAAATCATAGATCGAGATTCGATACTTGAGAGTCGAAAAATTCAAAAATTTTTTTTTTTTCGAATTTCATATTACTTTCAATTTAATCTCAACAGAACGATCAATCTTTGTTCAATCTTGTCAGTTGGTGGGCTTATTTGACAGACAAGCATTACTTACAATGTGCTAATTATATTTTATTCAAATTCAATTAACAAAAAAGCATTTTAAAATACGTGTTTCATCTTACGATATCTGATCATATACATAGAATTTTTTAATATTTGTTTGTTTTTCTCATCTTAAGTACTCTTTTAAATAATACGTTAACAAAAAAAAAACGCGGAATAAAATTGAGAGAGTTATCTTTCATAAAACTCCCGTTAATGCTGTGACAAAAAGTAATTACAATTAATATTATTCTTAAAAAAGGTTTTTATTTAATATTATTTAAATAACTTTTATCACATTTTAGGTTTATTTCATATGATATATAGATCCATGAAAAGTTATTTAAAAAAATAAATATA